CCCTCGCTGCTAAGAGGAGCAGTGGGACCCCGGTGTCCCCTCCCTGTCCCTGTCCCCTCCAGGAGCCACCACGTGTCCCCACTTTGGGGACAGGAGCGCCCCTGAGTCCCTGAGCTGCCACTGCTGCCAGGGGGATGGAGGGGACATGGAAATGACACCTGCATGAATTAATCATTAACATTAACGAGCTGCTGGGGACAGGGGGAGCTGGCAGAGCGGTGACAGTGTCCTGGTGTCACCCAAAGCCCCGGGTGGGTCACCGGGACTGGCAGAGGGCACAGGGCGGGTACAATCTCCCGGGATTTGGGACAGGGACCCGCCCAGGAGCCCAGGTGTCCCCAGCACAGCCCCATCCTGCTCTGCCGGCAGCTTTGTGTCCCCTGTGTATCTAAAACTGCTGTTCCGGCACGTAAAATCCATTTTTGGGCTGATTTCCCCAAATCCTGCAGCTTTCCACAGCCACGGGGGCGTGCTGGGCCTGCGGCACCCCCGGCACCCCCTGTGCCCCCGGGGTGACATGGGTGCCCTCTCCTGTCCCTCTGCCCGTGGTGGCCGTGCCCGGTCCCACCCGGGCAGGGCTGAAGGGACACAGGGGACATGTCCCACCCATGGCACATCACTCCCGGGTCCCCCGAGGGGCCGGGAGGACACCCCAGAACCCCCAGGACGTGGGTGCTGGCACCGGGAGCTGCCACTGCCACCATCCATGTCCCCATCCGTGTCCCACCCACACCCAGGGGCTGGGGGCTCTCAGGGAAGGACCAGCCCCGTGCAGGGTGCACAGCACCCATGGGTGCTCCCCTCCACCCCATCAGTGTCCCCAGGGAGGGCCCGGCAGTATCACAGATGGATTTGTCCCCTCCCAGCCCCTCTTTCCCTCCCTAATGGTATCGCCTACCCTGGAATTTGCATACAAAACCTAAAATATAATTAAATTTTGGCAGCGGGCAGAGCCTGCTCGAGGTTAATCCCTTTAGATTTGCGAGACTTATCTCGCTGGAATGTTCATCGAGCCCGGCCTAATGGGAAGGGAGGGCGAGGAGGAGCCGGCCGCGCTTATCTGAGAGCCGAGAGCCGCGGCTGGCCGGGCACGGCCGGGGAAACTGAGCAACACAGCC